AAATAAACTTTAAAAAAAATCTAAAAGTCAGCAAAGATTTCTTATGATACAGAAAGAACAATTTTTAAAATGGGAATTGATAAATTGGGCTTCACCAGAATTCCACATTTCAGTTTTAAGAGACACTACAGAAAATGCAAAGGCAAGACCCAGATTGGGAGAAAATATTCATAAATGTTATGAATTTTATGACATGTCTGATAAAGGACTCATATGAAGAGATACAGAAACTGTGACAACTTAATATAAAACAACAAAATAAGAACAAGAGTTATATCTGAATAGGTATATTACCAAATGTCCATTTATTTCATGAAATGATAGTCAACCTCATTTTCATCAGGGAAATGCAAATTAAAATCACAATGAGATATTATTGCACACCTTCTTAAATGGCAAAAATTAAAAGCTAACAATTTAAGTGTTGGCTAAGATGTGGAACAACTGGAAATCTTATACACTGCTGATGGGAGCATCAAATTGTGCCACCATTTTGCACTGGAATTTTCTTATTAGGTCAAATACATACTGACCTATATAGCAATTCCATTCCTAAGCAAAAAAAAAAAAAAAAAAGTATAAACTTTTTTTAAATGACATACATTGCTCAACAACGGCTTTATCCATGCAGAACAAACTAGACCAAAAAAAAGAAAAGAAAAGAAAATATCCACCTGCAAGTCAATGGAAAACAAATTGTGGAATATTTACAAAATAGACTACAAGTCAACAGTGAGCCACATGCTACTATACATGCAGTATTGTGGATGTTTATCATGTGAAATGATACAGCACGTCAGACTTGCCTTTAGAGACACAAAACCAGTCGATTTTGTGGCCTGAGACTGGATCTTGGGAAATTCTGATTGGAAGGGGTGTGAGGAAACTTGACAGGGTGAAGGACTTTTATGTTTTAACTGGGAACATTATATAAATGTATACGCTTGTCAAAACTCATTGAACTGTACACTTAAACTTGTTCATTTCATTGCATGTAATTCAAACTTCATTAAAAAAAAGTAAAAACAAAATTATAAAAAATTATATTGCAAAAAGCATGTGAAAATGAAATCATTGAACTTCTATACCAAAAAATAATCTCAATAGTTGCTTCACTTTCACTGGGTGCTAATGAAAATGTAGCTTAAAATAATGAGTTATCTTAAATGTTTGGGAAATAGACCTATGGTTGTAATATTGATAATACTTCAGCAACAAGCTGTATATACCAAAAACATCTTTTATGAGAAATAATTTCATTTTAATAGCAGAAACTACAGAGTTGATGACTGCCTTCTAGTTCTTTATTTGAATAAGTAAAGCCATGTCAGATGTCCTGCTGTGTGAATTTCTCTCATTTCCATGTTGGATTTAAAACATGGTGTCTGTTTCTTTAAAACAAATAATTCCCTTTGTTAATCTTCATCAAGTATACAGTTTATTTTTTGTCTTTTTTTTTGCTAAAATAGAATTTTATAATTAAATTCATTCCTGTGCCTTTATTATAATTTTATGCACCAAACAAAATGATTATATACAATAGCACATTTTCATTACTATTCAATTATTTTGATTGTGCAAGGATTTTATATTAGCCCATATATTCTCAGGCTTAAAAACTAGAAAATTTATACAGATATAACTAGAATTACATATAAAGGGCCTAGTATGCATGAGTTTGCAAGTAAATTCCTTTTTTTCCCCCGGCATAATTCCCTATTTCATGACTCAGTTTTGTGACATGCATATATTTATTCTAATTCTTACTGACTTAAGTAAGCCTGTCAATTATTCAACTTTCCAGGATGTTGTGACAGTTTATGGGCACAGTGATGTAGAATATTTATAATAGGGATTTTCTGTGAGGCCCGGGACGTGTGGTCAACCATTTTGTAGGGCTGCGTAGACAAGGGTAATCAACAAAATGCTTCATTTTAAAACGATGTTTGTTTTTCTACTTTAATTTTTTATGAGCCCAGGTCACCTTCCCTGTCGTCCACATAAGAATCCATTTGTAGTCAGGCTTTTAGAATCATTATCTATTGGAATAAACAGTGCATAGTAATTTCCATGACATCATTATTGATAGAGAATGAGGTGACTCAGATTGAGGCGAGGACAGAACAAGTGGTCCAGTTACACCGTGTTCAGATTATTGCTGCCGGAAAATATTTTTCTGTGTCAAAGCATTTGAAATTCCCTTCTTCTCCCCCTTGGTCTGAGCATCATGCACGTTCTGGGGCTTCCCAGAGGGTCCCATGCTTCATTCTTTCATGGCTTGTCCCACAGAGTGGGGATAACCCCACTCTGCCCCTTTGCCTTGTCCGCTAGTTTCTCTGAGCTTTTTGTTGACAGGGAGAAAGACTTCAACTTTGCTACTCCAGGGTGGCAAACGGCACCCAGCCCCGAGAAATGTGGCAATGAAAGAATGAACAATTGGAATCAAGAAGAAACACACTGTCATAATCATTGTCTTGTCTGAACCGAGAGGGTTTATGGTGGCACCGGTTCTGATCTAAGACTTGACTTTTTAGCTGGAAGAAATAAGCACCACGTCAAGAGCCAAGTTCTAAACGGGTTTCTACACCATCGTGGATGAGCTCTGGCACTTCTGCCTTTGCTGAGTTGTCCCTCTCCTATTTGGTGGTTGGAAACACAGGTTTGCTAGGCTCTTCTCTTATAGTTATAGTGTGTTCTATTCCACCCACTGCGACAAGCCCTTGTATGGATCATCTTAATTTTCACAACAGCCCGATGAAGTGAGTGATACGTAGGTCCTGGGGAAATTGAAACTTCAGGAGGTTAAGCAACTTGCCCAAGTTTGCACAAATAGCAAGTGCAGAAATAGGGATCAAAACCAGTCAGGCAGGCTGCGGGCCTTCACCAGTTCCCAGTACTGTCCTACTTCATTTTTGTTTGTTTTTTTTCAAGAAATTTGTCATGGTGGGAAAATTTGTTTCTGTATTAGAATACCCAGACCTTGATTGAGCAGACCCTGTGTCCCTAGAGATATTGTATAAAATAGTGCTTGGCACATCATATGTGATCAAGAAGTACTGAATTAATAATTAAGTATTGCTTCCTGGAGTGTGACTAAATTGATGAGACTCAGTGCTTCTTTTAAAATAACATTCTAAGGGGCCCTCCCTGATGGCCAGCAGGTTAAAGCACAGCACTGAAAAGCTAAAGCCACTTCCGCATGAGTTCGATTCCCGCCTGCCCCGGAGGAGACCACATGGCGTGGCAGACCTCTCCTGACCCGCCCGCTGCTCCCCTCAGCAGTGTACTTCATCGATCTGCCTGTTCTGCTCTCTACTCTGTCTCTGGTGAAGCCTCTCGCCGCCCCTGAACCTCTGGCCTGTACCCCAGTTCTGTATGCATAAATAAATAAATCTTTTAAAAAAATTACATGCTAAGGTCTTGCATTTCTAACCTCTGCTAATTATTTCATATTTGAGTACTCATTTTAGGAAATGATTTATTCAAATGGAAAACTCTGGGACCTCCCTGATGGCACAAAGTGTTAAGTCTCAGCACTACAAAGCTATTCGCAGCCACTGCAGCACAAGTTCAATCCCTGGCCAGGGAATTGACCCACATGGCAGCAGACCTTTCCTGTATTGCTGGCTTCTCCCCTCAGAAATGTATTTCAGTGTCTGTTCTTCTCCCCACTCTGTCTCTGGTGAATCCTCTCACCCCCATACCTCTAACCTACACCCCAGCTCTTGTATGCATAAAACAAATCTTAAAAAAAAAAGGAAACTCCACAAATAATTAAAAAAGGTAGCTTCTAAAAATTCTTTAAAGACATCACTACCTTAAATATCCATCCACATATGTAGAAAGTTCAACTACACAATAACTGAAACTTCTGGGCAGAGTCTAAGGTCAGATCTGTCTCAGATCCTTCCTGGGGAAGGATGGTCTCTTATGTTTTTTCACATCCATTTTGTCATCTCTTAAAGGCATCTAAATAGAACAATAAAAACCAAAAACGAAATTCCACATCCCTGCTTACTTTAGACTGGGAGGGGAGTTCCCAACCTGGCTTCGCTGTATCTCCAGTGTTCTAAAAAGATCGTGGATCTTTCTCTTTCCACTTCTCTCACGGTCTAATAATAGCAAATGAAGCTCTATTGAGATCTATGAGTATTATCCAGACCCGAGAGAACCTAGCATCCACAGAGCCACCAGGGGGTATCAACACTGGTAACTGGAGCTCTCCCTGGAATCACTTTATTCTTTTCCCTTTCCTGAGCTTCCCCTCCACACCTTCCTCACTTGTATATCTTTTCCCCTTTAACTGCCTCCTTCTGAATACAGGGCGTCCTCTAAAAACGTTGCTTCATGTAATGTCTTTTTGTTTGAATGTTGATGAGGAGAAACCTCCAATCCTATCCAATGTTGAAAGAAACAAAGTCATTCGAAAACCTGCTTTTGTTTATGTGTGTGTATTAACATTGCAGTTCCCAACCCATGGGTGATGATAAGTGAGGATTCATTGTTTGTTATTTGTTACTAATTATTGTTTATATCACATACTTCAGTGCAAGAATCCAGCTGCCACAGAAGCAGTGGTATCCTGCCTCACTTGGCTGACGCTCCTGAATGGCTTCTGTCCCACTCACGACCCTGTCCTGGGCTTTTAAATATTCTTTGTCCTTTTGTGTCATCAGTTCTCAATTCTGTGATTCAAAGACAATTTTCAGAGCTCTCATTAAATAATTCCCTAAATTGGGAAGCTCCTAGTTATAATCAATTTTCTAAAGATCATGTAAACATTTAAGGGGCACACCCGCAAATGAAATTAGTGCCGAGGTAGCGTTTTCCCCCTCCGCCACGCCCTTTACTTGAGTGCTGGCACGTTTAGCCCTCTGAGCGGGGACCTTGTTCCTTCACTTTGGGGCAGAGTTCCTTTCCTGTCTATTTCATTTAATATATTTGATTCCACAGATGTTTTTGAAATATCAACTGCCTTTCATTGTTGTCTTTACATTCAGATTATATTCAGTGTCCATACTGTAAGAGGAGGTTTAATGAAACTGCTGCCAATCGACATATTAATTTTTGCAAGAATCAGTCTTCTCGCCGAGTCTTTGATCCAGCCCAGACAGCGGCCAAATTAGCATCCAGAGCACAGGTAAATATCTCTCCCCAGGTGATGGCTCTTGTGCCCTAACACACTAGGTGCTAGAAGGTGGATTTACTCTCCTGACAAGTGTAAGGATGAATTTAGGGTGGTGATCATTCATCCCTGGGAGAAGTGGCTTCTTTTGAGGCAAGCTTTTCAGCTAACAGCATCTCCAGTGTAGAATATTATTTCCAAAATGACTGAAGCCTCTTAGGATGAAGACTTGAATGTGTAAGTAGTGTTTCTATAGTATTATCCCTACTGTTGGTTATCAACATTAACTCCCCAGAAAGTTGTAAAACTGGCCCGTGTAGGGGAAGATGTTCCAAGATGATGTATTTTGCTATGCAGGGGAGAGGGACCTCAGCCCTTTATTAAAAGCCACAGGATCAGCAAGTTCAAGTGGATGGATGGAAACAGCAGTTACAAATAGGTGCAATAAGTAGAATGACAATCAGACTCGGTAGATAATAGGTAAATAAACCAAGAAAGAACTGGAGCCGGCAGACAAGCCTTTCTAGATCAAAGACCCTCAGACATAACTTACAATATAGCATAAAAACTGCTACTTTTGTAAGCAGGCTCAAATACCAAGATAAGATTAAATTGGTCTAAATATTTGAGGATGTAATTTCTTTAGTGAGATTTCCATGAGATCCAGTATATGATTTCCTTTTAATATTTATTTAGCTAGTAGAGCTGAATTATAAGCCAGTGGGGGGGGGGAGGGGAAGGGTGAGAGGGTTCATCAGAGACAGAGTGGGGAGCAGAACAGGCTGATATACTGAAATTTACTGCCAAAGGAGCAGTGGGATTGACAGGAGAAGTCCACTGTGCCATGTAGTTCAGCTCCCTGGCAGGGTATTGAACTCAGTCCCAAGCGGTGATAGCACTGAGACTTAACCCCTAGGTCACCAGGCAGGCCCCCAGAATACAGCTTCCAATATGACCCCGTATTTGTTTTCTGAGCTCATTCTCCATAGCCTTCAGAGAGCTCTTTAACATCTACTCTGTTCAGATGTACTGCCGCCTGCTAGTTGACCAAGGATTTTTAGTTCAGAAGAGGATTTGGAAATCAAGCAGCATGTAGGTGTGCCAGTTCATGTAAGAGTACTAGGAAGAAGAACCACTGTGACTCATGGGAGGCTTCAAAGAGGCACAAACATTTCTCCTACAATGTTGGAGCTGGAAGGGAAACAGAAAAGTGTCTTGCTTTGAGCCCTGTTGGTCAGCAGGGGCTGGAAGCCCAGAGTGCCTGCGGGAGGTGGTGGCGGTGGGCAGGAAGCTCTCCAGGGGCTCACACCCAGCTAGTTCAGAGGGGAGAGTGGCTGATGGAGGGTTACTCAGACCCCTGAGGAGGAGAGTGGGGCCTTCAGCCCTTCATTAAAAGCCACAGAATCAGCAAGTTAAAGTGGATGGATGGAAACAGCAGTGGCAAATAGGTGCAATAAGTAGAATGACAATCAGACTCAGTAGAAAGGCCATGGGGAGTCCTCTCTCCATGTTTGCATCATCTCTGTCCTTCCTCCTGTGCATCTGTTCTCTTCTCGTAGACCAAATTTCATGGCTTTTCTGTCCGTCCTGTTGTTGACGCTGGCCTCAGGAGTATGGGCAGTGTAGGCTGGTTGCACAGTTTAGACAGGAGAGATGTGGAACCAGTTTTTTTAGGGGAAAAGAAATCTTGCAATTAATTTCAAGTTGAGTTGGTAGGAAAGCAGGAACCACAGCAACAGGCAAAGAATGTGAGCCTGGAGTAGGAGACGGGTGGGGTTTGGGTAGCAGGGGTGTTTCTGAAATAGTTGTTGGGAGACTGCAATGCTGATTAGGTAGAGCGTGAGGGAGAATCGGGATTGACGAGATTTTCAGCTTCACAGCCCAGGCACATAGGTGTCAGTACTAACCGCCTCGATTAAGGGGCACAGGAGGGAGGAGACAGGAGTGTTAGGGCCGGTGCCGGTGAGAAAGACAGGCATAGAGTTCAGTGTGGCTGCTTGAACTTGTGGGGAAGCAGAATATGTGCGAAGAGCCACACAGTGTGGTCAATATAGGGTTTGACTCTAGAGTCTGTACTTATCATCTGCAGGCAAACTTGGACAAGTTACTCAAATTCTTGGGGACTCACTTAATCCATATGTCTCTGCGTTGCTGGGCAGATTATAGTGGTATCAGTGCCCAGCTCAGTGCCGGCACCAGGCCTCCTTTGCCTTTCCTCTCCCAAGTCACCCCATTTCTTTTTCCCTCTCTGAGAGCTGGGGTCAGGGGTACATCTGCTTTTGGACTTGAATTCAACTTACATTTGAAAAGGTTTCCTGTGTATAATTCTACCGATGCTTGGAAAGCAGCACAGGGTTCGTTACATTTCTTCAAATGGTTCTTCTAACCCATCCATGAAGTTAGTTGGCCATGAAGTCAGTGGGGCCAAGGGGAACACAGGGAAGCTGCGAAGGGAAGTGCTTTTATTCCTGAAGAAGGCCAGCTGGCTGTCCTGAGCATAACCAGTGACTTGGCCCGGTGCCTCTCCGTGTTTCCCAGAGTAAGTGGTGATTGGGGACACAGAAGAAAAATTGCTTGCTCTCTGAACTGCCGGCTTTCTGAGTAAACTCACTGGAGAGTGTATCTGAACAGCAGCGCAGTTCCCCCATGCCAGCTTCGCCGCTCAAGGGCCTTGCCTCATAGCGAGGCTAATTCAGAAGTGGGATGAAAAGGGAGGGTCGTTTCAGTTTTGAAGGGCTGTTAACAGCTGAAATGTGTTTCTATTTTAAACATAATCAGCTTTAAAAATGTGTTCTACCCTAACCAAAAGAAACCAATATGGGCCTCTAAAAATAGTGTTCTTTGTTTGGATGGGGATGAGCGGCCCTCTGTAATCTCAGAGCTATTGTTGCCCTGGTGAGAATTTTCAGAGTAACCGGTTATCTCTATCCTGTAGTTTCCATGGAAATAGAGGTGGGATCAGTAGCAAGGTGAAAAGGAACTCCCAAGGAACCTGTTGGTCCTTACTCTGGTGGCTCTAGCTGCGGCTACTGCTGCTGGTAGGTGTGTGAGGGGTGCTGGAATTCCATGTTTAAAACATTTGCTGCCTGCCAGTGTCTGTTTTTCCTCTCTGTTCATGTATTTAAAAACAAAATCATCTTCAACTGTAATGAAAAACTAAAATGTTCCACAACTATCCTTCTTGACATTAAGTGATTTCTTATGTCTCTATACAACTGATTTTGCAGTATGAACTGCTCTCTCAAGGGCTTGATTATGGAATGAAAGTTCCAAAACCCAGACATGGCTTCTTTGTGTACCAGCTGAGGGGACAGAAACCAGTCTAACTTGGGTGCTGGGTGTGTGTCCCTTTGCTCCAGGTGCAGCAGGTACCCAGAGATAACTTCAGTTGTCTGTTGGCTAACTGGACATAGCTCTACCTACTGCGTGCTACCTGAGGTTAGAGCAATAACCCCACCCTTCTCCTTCTGTAGGGTCGGCCTCAGATGAGTCCGAAAAAGGACCCAACTGTGACCAGAGCCGTGGGAACTCTGCTACAGAACAGGGCCCTGGAGGGCCCCAGTGTGATCTCAGTTGGGTCGGGTGAGTTGGAGTGAGCATCTCAGCTCAGGTGATGGTGTGCACTGGGCACTCTTGGTTTTGGGGTTGGTCAGCTGTTGACAACAGCTATAACATTCAGTAGTGTTTTGGGGTATAAAGATATGTGGGTTTGCTTGAGGTTAATGATTACTTACTAACCAATGTCTTCTAAGCTATCAGAATTAGATAACACAATATAACTGATAACATTCTCTGGTCTAGTAAAGTTGTAAAGAGACTGAAAACAGGAGATCACAGTTGTGTTAAAAATAAGGGGAGAAATGAAATAAGTATCTTGAAGAGCTGTCTGCACTCCTGTGTTCATTGCAGCATTTCTCACAGTACCATGTATGCAAACAAGCTCAGTGCCTATTGATGAATTAAAGGATAGAGATCTGACATACATTCCATGGAATATTACTCATCCAAAATAAGAAGGGCAAGCTGCCACCTAGCAATGTGAGTGACATTGAGGGTGTTATGCTAAGTGAGACAAGTTGGATATAAGAGAAATACTGTAGGATCTCACTTATATACAGAACCTAATAAAATGTCAAGTTCATAAGGACATGAGTGGAGTAGTGGCTGCCACAGTAGGAAGGAATGGGGAGAGGTGATCAAAGGCTCCAACTTTCAGTTACAAGATGAGTCAGTTCTGGGAAGCTAATGTAAACCGGAGTGACTCTAGTCAGCAACACTATACTTGAAAGTTGTTCATAGTAGATCTAAAATGTTCTACAGACACACACACAACTATGTAAGGAAATGTAAGTAAATTTTGTATGCCAATCATTTTGCATTGTATACACACACCAAATCATTACATTGTATACCTTAAATTTACACAATGTTTTATGTTAATTAGATCTCAGCAAAGCCGAGGGGGAAACTTTTCTTTCCAGAGTTGAATAATTTCATAGTAGCAGAAAGTCATAACTTTACTATGTGCTAGTTGCATTTAATACCCACAATAAGCCTTCGAATGTTTTTATCTGTGGAAAAGGAAGCTGAGAGGTTATTTGCTGTAGGCTCCCGGATAATAAAGCCCAGGTCGGGATTAGGTACCATCGAGTTGCACGGATACGTTGACATGCGCCAGGAAGGCAACGTGACATAGTCTCTGACCACATAGGCGTTGCTGACCTTATTTCTAAGGTCTTTGAAGAACTAGAGAAGTTGCCAGTCTCACATAAAGTAGCAGTACCAGGAAACTAGCGCACCCTCCCCGCTTCCCACCACACCATCTCTTCTGTTCGCTCCCTTCAGTTTTCTGTTCGCTCCCTTCAGTTTTCTGTTGACTGTCATCTTCAAAGCAAGTTCTCCAATGCCTGTATTTAGAATGAACCAAGCTCTTTAATTCCCTTTGTAATAATAATAAAAAAAAAGGCATTTGAGGCCATATAATATTCAGCAGGTAAATGTTTCCCTGCCCCTGTCACCAAAGACAGTACGGTTCAGGAAGGCAGGGCTTAGTAAAAAAAAAAAAAAATTTTTTTATTGCCATCTACCTGCCTGCTGGAACTGTTCATGGCACATATGAGGCGCTCATACTTTTTGTATGAAATAAATGGTGGACAAGTAGGTATCTTGACGTCTAATTTCTCACTTGTATTATCAGCATATGAATAGAATTGTCATGAGAATTAGCTGTAAGGGATAGCTTTGTTTCATTCTTTGTTCTTAATTTAAATCTTTTGTTCTAACGTATGGTCTCACCTGTTTACCTTTAAAATTATAACCTCCAGGGTTAGTGTGCCATTTTATTAGTCACATTTATTGGGAGCCATTCTTGGGGAGGGAACAAAAGCATCCTGAGGGAAGGTGAACTCCCCAAAATGCTACCACTCAGAAAAGTTGAGTGCCTTTTGTTAACGTGAATGGGTCTTTGTGAGAATCAGATTCACACTTACTGTCCCTTGCTCTTGTTCTGGTCAGTATTAATCTATTTGTAATGTGAGGGTCTTTTTCCAATCGTTACTGATGGGTTTTGCTGTTTCTGAAGTGACAGTAGTGTCACCTCCCTTCCACAGAAGCCCTAGGGCGGTCTTTCATCTGGCCAGTAGCTAACTCCCTACAATTCTGGTTTACATCCTCTTGAGTAAAAGAAGCAGTTAGTGCTTCTTTAGTATGTTCTAAATTCACTCTCAGGAGAGATGTGGATGAGTCATCATCTTTTCTCATCCCTAGGCCTGATGTGCAGAGACAATCTCTTGACACAGGCGAGCACCCGTATTCATTCAGAGCAGACTTATTGTGCGTGGTTGTTTCTTATGCCTGTGGATTCTTATAAGTCTAGGGGGAGTGAGTACATCTAATATTGAACAGTGGAATGTAAAAGTCGAATCAACAGAGGTCAGTGCTGCTCAGGAGGCCTTATGCAGGAGGCGCAGCCTGAGAGGGTGGAGACTGTGAAGGTGGAAGCACTTGGCATGAGCTTCAGAAGAGATAAGGTTTGACCAGTGAGCGAAGCTGCAGGAGGAATGAACAAAACACGAAAGGGAAATTGCAGGGGATTTCCCTAGACACAAAGGATGCACTTGGCCAAAGCATGGAGAAGCCTTGGGGTGGAAAGAGAAATTAAACTAGCATGGAAGCCTGGCACCTGGGCAGGTGGGCTGTGAGTGCTCTGTGAGGCACTTCAACTCTGATGGGTGCTGACGTCACATCCGTGGACTCTCTCAGCTGTATAAGTTGGCCATTGTGATGGCCAGGAACTTTCCCTTCTAAATTTCTTTTGAGAAAGAACACTCTAAAAATGATCATGTAAGAAATTTATGCTGACTGTAAAGAAGAGCATAGAAAATAAAAAAACATCCATCGTCCGACTCCCTGACAAGTCCCTCTTAACATTGATATCTTCTTTCAATTTTCTCTATTTATACTCCTCTTTTTTTTTGGTCACTGTTCTCTTGTAATCAAAGATAAGCTTATAGTCCATGTACACATCCTCTCTTTTTTCATTAATACCTTTCAAACTTTTCACTAGGGCAGAAGAGTCTTTAAAACATAGGATCATATCATAAGACCCCAGTGCCATTTATTTAGCTACTTTTCCTGATGTTGAGCGGATAAGATGTTTCTACTTTTTTGCTATACCCAAAACACCCCTTGTCATGGAGATAAGCCAAACTTACTTTGTACCCTCTTTAAGACACTTCCTGCATTAACTCGTTGAATCTTTCCAGTAACACAGGGGTAAACCTTCTCTCCCTATCTCTACTCTACACTTGAGGAAAGCACAAAGAAGGAAGCATCTTGAGTAACTGAATAGGAAATGCTAGAGTCTGTCAGAGTTTTGTCCATCCCTTTAACTGTACATGCACCATTGACCCTCGAACAATGGGGGATGGGACTTGAGGGGGTGCAAGGGGGTGGAGAGCACTGACTTTCCTCGAAGCTGAATAGTCATGTCTAATTTAGAGTCCACCCCCTCCTCCATACACACAGTTCCACCTCTGCTGATTCAGTGAACCGACAACAGGGTTTGGTTGAATCTGTAAATGAGGACTCCCAGACAGAAAAATCTGTGTTGTTCAAACTTACATTGTGCAAGGGTCAGTTGCATACAATGTATGTATTTATATCTAAGTGTATGTGTGTGTAAAATTATTTCAGAGAAAGGTAATGACTTGCCACATTCTCACAAAAGCTCTTGTGTTGAGGTAGGAAATGAGTTTATAGCTTAGCTAGCAAAGAGCTCCTAGTGGCTAAGTTTGTGAGAGTTTTGATGTAAAGGGGACTCATTTACTCTGAAGGCCTCTCAGTAGCAGTTTCTCCAGTCCATTTATATAGATAGACTTATGACAGTATCGTCTGGGTTCTGGAGCTATCTTGCTTCATCAATTTAATGAACCTTGTTCTAGACAGCTTTGTTGGAGGGAGCTCTGTTTTTATTTTTGGAGCAAGTGGATTTGGTCAAGTGAAGCTTCACACCTCCTGCCCTAATTCAGTTGTGTAGCAAATACAGTATCAAAAGGTCAGTTTTTGATGCTTTGGGAAAAGTAAAATGTGTAACTGTTGAGTAAAACTAACACTGAAAACTCTTTCCAGTCCTGCATCCTTTGATGGGGTTCTTTGGTTACTCCTCCTGCTCCATACAATGTTGATTAAGAAGGAGGTCTCTAGGACAGGAGACTAACATCCTTTTCACAAAAAAAAAAAAAAAAATTCTCGAAGAATTCCACCACATACCACACATTCGAGAACAGACGGTGGCATAAGTGCCCATTTCTATAAACTCCTACATGACCATACCTCATAGTGCTGCTGGGACTAATGGAAAAGAATGCTGTTTCTGGAAGAAGTCCATTGCTGTGGAAATTAACTGAGGGAAGGCCTCTCATTCTTTCATAGGCTCATCAAATCCTTTCTAGTGCGGAGGCAGGCAAAGAATTGTGAGCCTCAGAGTACATTTTGAACACCTGTATACAAGTGGGGAGATGTGGATAACCCAGTTGTATAAATTGGGCCTCAAAGATGGCGGTCCCAGGGCTTCCCCTTGGGTGGTGAGGGAGGGAGAGGGGCAGAGGACAGAAGGCTCCTGAGACAGTCCTTGGCTTCCTTATTTGGCCCAGGAAAGAGACTATTTGCCTGTAGTTAAAAACACAACACAGCAAAATAAAGAATAGACTTTCAAATCGAATGTGAGGATTTCATAATCATTCCTTTTTTTTTCTTTTCTTGCTAATGTTTGTTTTTACATAACTAATCTGTTCATGTCTGCAAAAGATTAGCAGTGGACCCTGCTTCTGGAGCAAAACTCAGACCAGGATTTACTAAATCTCCTAAAAAAGATTAACTCTTCGAGGCCAGGTAAGAACAAGAAATAATCTCTAATCCAGGTGTTTGATTGCCTAATGTGCAGATACAACTAATGAACCTTTAGGAGAATAAGTGTCTAACAGGCCAACCAAGGAGAAGTTTGGGCACACCCTGGGGTGGCAAATAAAATGTACGCTCTTAAAATTTACCCCTTTTGTTAAACATATGGTCTATAAGTGACATTCTTCTTGATTCTTATGGTTTCCAATTGTTCTTGATTTAATAGCAAAGGGGAATGATTTCTCACTTTGACATAGAAGGCTACTTACCCTGTCCCCTTTCCCAAACACCCCTCCACCCCCACCCCAGAAAAGGGGCATTCCCAGCATTCCCTGAGACTGACACTGACTAGGACTGCTATGAAATTGGAAACTTCGTGGCATTGTGAATTGTTGAGAACAATTAAAACTTTAATGAGGCCTAGATTATTTTCTCGTGTGGAAACAATGACGTTCTGAAGCAAATGCCTTTCCTGCTTCCTTTCAGGCCAACTCCCACAGCTCCTCGCCCGGTGACCATCTACCCAGGAAGGCCACGGAAGAAGGGACAGCAGATTTCTGTTTACAGACCTCTTAAGACATCACCTACAAGTAAAACCTAGCTTCCCATTCTCCTATATATACCCTACACAAACTTTCACACAAATCATTAAAGAACACCTCGACATGTATGATAATGCTTGATTTGAAAATTCACTTGAGTTTTCTTCACTTGGCTAACTAATAAGCTTTTTTTTTTTTTTAAGATTTATTTATTTATTCATACAGAACTGGGGTATAGGCCAGAGATGCGGAGGGTGAGAGGATTCACCAGAGACAGAGTGGGGAGCTGAACAGGCAGATCGACGAAGTACACTGCTAAGGGGAGCAGCAGGCTGGTCAGGAGAGGTCTGCCACGCCAGTGGTCACCTCCCGGCAGGTGGGGATCGAACTCATGCGGAAGTGGGCAGGTGGGGATCGAACTCATGCGGAAGTGGCTTAAGCTTCTTAGTGTTGTGCTTTAACCCGCTGAGCCACCAGGGAGGGCCCTAATTAATAAGCTTTTAAAGAAAATGCTCTGATATGAGAGCTGTGGAGTGAAGGTCTTTGGAGTGCCAGCGTTATTTACTCACGAGGAAATTAAGTTTTTTAGCTAGCTTCACTTTATACGTTAGCTGTGAAATCGCAGCTTTAACATTCGTCGCTAATAAGTTAGTAATGACCGATTAGTAACTGCTCCTGTTTTTAGATGTCGAATTGCCCGTATGCTGTGGAATGTATACATACGCAGTAGACCACATAGAAGTGCCTCCGACATGCGTGTGCAGGTTTGGGGGAGCAGTGCAGTGGAGGGCACAGGCTCCAGCAACCTCCCCACCCCTGGAAGGTCATCTGCTCGTCACGCGCAATAGAAGTCAGCTGTTCATTCCTCCATTGCTTGGTTCAGAGCGCTATTGGGAGGTGGTGTGTCAACTATTCCTTCTCTTTGCTGTCTTAATAGTTACTAAATTCTTCGTAGACTCATTCACACTTAATTCATGCTTTAATCTAAGAAGTTTTATGTTTTCTTAAACTCAGAAAATTTCAATTAGGAATGAAACCATCCCCCCACCTCCATCAAAATGTAAGTAGAATTCCAGGATCCTCTGCTTGTGGTGCAGCGACACATCTGAAACTAGTATGACCTCTATTTTGGGAGTCACACCCCGTTTTTGCTCAGGCAAATCAAGTATGCATTCTGGATCCAACAGCCATCAGAAATTAGTTGTCTTGGGAGCTTTCAGCGGAGGTTGCCCTGCTCGGGCTTGTGCTTTGGCCCCGAGAGATGCTTGCTCTTGAGGAGGTAAGAGCAGTGTGGGAACTGACTGCTATCCCAGAGCTGTGGCTTGTTACTGATGAGGTTTACTACAGCCTTTGTCTCATTCTCTTTCCCAGGTGTGTGTCTGCAGTGCCCAAGCAAGCCCTTTACGGTCATCAGCATCACCGTTAAGGTTCAGGCCTGTCTCACGTTTGGCAAACAGGCCTCTTTGATGAGCAAGAGACCTGAAGGTGGCCTCCCTCTGTGCTCAAAGGTAAGACAGATTGGTGCCCTGGACCTGGTGGCTAGAATACTTCCTGAAGAAACTACAGTCAGGAATAAGCAAGCTGCTAGTTTGTATGAGAAGTGGTAGACCCCAGTGCAAAGTGAAACATCGGTTGCCCCAGCCTGAGTGAGCTGCCAGCGTTCTGCCCTCCATGCCAGAAATCAGTGAGGAACTGAATTCCTGTCTGCAGCACGTTCTCAGCTCTGTGAATTTAACTGCAGCAATGTACACGTCCAAATGATGGTTTCTAACAGATGCTGAAGAGGTCAGAATAGCAGTTTCTGTGGGGGAAGTAATGACCAGGAGGGGGCGTGAGGGAGCTAGAAATGGTTCATGTCTTGATGCCATTAGGCGGTGTCGAATGGAAGAATTAACCAAGCCAGATGCAGAATTTGTAGTTTATTGTATGTAAGATATATCTTCATATAGAAAGCCTCTAAACACAAGACAAAAGCTTTAAAAAAAAAAGGTTAGGTTTTATATTTTTAAAACTCATTAGATACCAAATTCAAAAGATTATAGTTATATTTGCAAAATATTTTTGAATAAAAACTAATATTGACGTAAATGCATTTATTGATTAAAAATAATACTTAAGAACTTAAAGCAGAGTAGTATTTTAAGCCAGACAGAGCAAAGAAAATTCTTGTTTAATATATATATTTTTAAATTCCAGTAATATTTTCTTATTCCTGTTAAAAATATAATCAATATTAAAGTCAGCAAAATGCTTTTCTTGACTGACGCCTGGATTATTTTATCACTTAACTGGCTACACGGTGTTTTTTTTTTTTTTCTTTCTTTTTTCTGTCAGCTATAACTGACCAGCTTAGTCTTTAAGATAAATGAATAAGTGATAACTCACATTGTAGCATCTTGTGGAAAATATTCAAACTACATTTAAAATGCTTTTTTAAAATGGAGACGCCTATTATTCCACAAGCAATTGTTTCTGGAAAACTACAGGTTGGCTATGACAAGAGTAACTAAACTACATCCAACCCTGAAGGTAGAAAAATCCCTGAAAAGAAATACACAGCCTAGGTAGAGTATGCAATAGAAAGGTTATTTTCTTTAAAAGTCTCCCCTTTTGGAGAAATCCAGACTTGTCCGTAGTTCCTTACTAGGCAGTGCCACAGAAAGTTATTTAGTTAACACACGATGATCATGGCTTACGATTATATTCAATATGACAAACACCTAACCATAGCTAACCATAGCAGCCCCGTGGATGTCGGTCATGACAATACGTGTTGCCGCTCCAGTAAAGAATACTTGCTTATTACATTTGGTACAAAGCGTGAACACTCAGGACAGATTGGCACAATACATGCAGTTCAAGAACTTTATCTCAAAGGCAGTCATTACTGAATAAGCCATAGTCCCAGTCCTGTTTTCCATGTCGTTCCTTGTATTTTAACTGATGCTTAAATGCTCCTGAAAAACATCTTCCAGAATCTGATCGCCTTAAAAACCAGTCATCTGAATGCATGGTGGAAATGAGGCAGGATAGCCGGCCCGGTGCCAGCTGAGAACACATGAGGGATGGGAGGCAGGGCGAGCTGGCCCAGGCTCATGGTGCTCATGGCTAGTGAGGGGTCTTGTTGCTGCTGCCCCAGACAGCTTAGCCTATGGGGCAGAGACTCCCCAGGCCCCAGGGTGAGAGTGCTATTCCCAAAGGCATTTTGGGAAGCAGGGGGCAGCTGCCAGAAGCCCAACAGAGGGGAAATGTCCAAAGAGGCAGGTAATGTTAGGTTCACAGCATCTGCAGGGAGCTCCTTGGGCAGGTTTATTTTACCAGCACTACCCTTAACCAGATCAAAACCTGGGCTGAGCTTGTGAGGTGACTGAGGCTCTTGCAGAGGCAAGTCCTCAAGCAAATTAATATTGCAAAATCCTTTAGTTTCTGTTTTGAGGGGCAGGCTTGCAAGTGGGGGGTATGAGGTAGAACTGGTGTTGTACTTGTGATTCTGGAGGGCTGAAGGAGGGGAGCTGGGAGATGCTATGGGGTGGAGGGGGGCCAGGGGCTCTGGCAGCTGTTGCATGGGTTGAGGGGGCTGCTCTGAAGGATTGTGGGGGTGGCCATGTACCTCAGCTGGCAAGCTACTTGCAAGCCCATTCTGGATGGGCGCTCCTAACGGGAAAGGAGGCAGCGCGGCGGCAGCCTTGAGCTGGAATTGGGGAGAGATGGCATGTAAGGTGCTCAGAAGGTCTCCGGGCTGCAGACTCTCTTTCATCAGCTCCTGCGAGTGCGTCTTCTTGGTGTGTCGGGTGAGGTGGTCTTTGCGCCCAAATCTCTGGGCACAGAACTGGCACAGGAAGTCCTTACAGCCTGTGTGGACCACCAGATGGCGCCGCACGTCTTTCCGGGTGTAGAAGCATCTCTCGCAGTGGTCGCACTGGTGCTTCTTTTCCTTGGTTCCACTAGGGGGCTTCTCCTCAGCGTGGGCTTTGAGGTGGTTGAGCAGCACCTCTGTGCTCCCCAGTTCCAGGGCGCAGACCCCGCAGGTGAGGTCGCCACTGCTGGCCGCGTGCAGGGCCAGGTGCCTCTTGTAGCCCAGCATGGTGTTGTACTTCTTCCCACACTCCTCACACCCAAAGGCCATTTTGTTGGGGTCATGGGTTTGGAGGTGGTTCTTCAGGTGGTCTTTGCGGTTGAATGTCTTCTCACAGTGCGCACACTGGTGAGATTTCTGGGGTGAATGGGTCGCCATGTGCCTATGAGCAGAAGGAGAAAATTCACAATAGACGCTGTTTCCTAAGAGCTGAAGGGAGGTTTAGAAACAATATTCAAATGTTAATAGTCTTCTCTAAGTGGGGGTAGAAGAGATGGTTTTCATTTCCAAACTACTTTGCTCTATTTTCCAGACACTACAAGCACATACAACTTTATCATGAAAAAGCAGCACTACTAAAGGCACAATGTGAGTTTCATACTTGGAAAGAATATTCTGAGAACACATGTTCCTAATATGTGCAGATAGGCTGCTAAACAAATACAAGTATTAAAAGCTTATGTGATCATGAAAAATATTTTTCAGAAAGGGTTAAGTGGCTATACCTTCTGCGGTTTGGAAACTTCTGAATTTCTGTAAGTGACTTCATTTGCTTTCTACAAAAGAACCCTAGTTTTAGGTTATTATTCTTGCATATGATTCCAGCTGTATCTTGACTGAGAAAAAGTTCAGGTCATAGGATACTGGAAAGGCTATTCTCAACCTCAGAAGATGTGTCTAATTGGACCGGAACGCCACCCCCACCACCTGTGCTTGGAACCTTCTACAAGATCTTTCCATTAAGTCCTGGTTCTCTCCATTGAATAATTTGCTGTCATCTCATGTATGTAGTCCCCACCTCCCTCTCAGACACCTCCAACCTCCTCCCTGAAAGTCACTGGTAATTTCATTAGCAGAATTCAAAAAGACATTTCCAGAAGGACTAAGCTGCTACTCCTAGCAACAGTTACAAGCTTGAGCTGGGCTTCAGGACACAGTCATCCTAGTCAATCTGGAATTTCTAAATACCTATTTTACACTGATATTCATAAAGCACAAATTACTATGGGGAAACCACACTCATGTCATTTCTATCATAACTACAACAAGATCCTGAAATCGAAGCTCTTGGCTTTAAAAACTCGACAAACATCATATAAAACACCAAGACTACATATCAGTGTTTCTTACAAAATAGCATCCTGAATTGCAACTCTGACTTATAGGCACAGTGTTGTAAAACCGCACATCTATCCTTTCTCCCCCACCCCCCAAAAGCGTAGCCTGCTGTGTGACAAGGGACAGAAAAAGTCAGTTCCAGCCATTCCCTCCAGCACACCAGAGCTTGGCACGTGAAGGGACCCCGGGCCGCGGTGGGCAGGGCCGCGGGTGCTGAGGGCAGGCCACTGCAGCAGGTGCTGGAGAGCAGCGAAATGGTGCTGACGTCACCACGGTCAGTGCGCTCAGGTACGTCTGTGGGCTGCAGAAAAGGGGTTCAGAGCCTTTCAGAGGGTAAAAGAACCAGAAACCCAGATATATCATCAGGAATAGATAGGAGAGGAGGATCAGGTCTACAAGCTTGTGAAACAAGTTCCTTTCTTTCATTAGTGCCAGTGAACAGGACCCCAAAGCTGTCCCGGACCATCCACACTTGCCCTTTGGGGGAGGGGATCTGATTCTATTTCACAATCACAGCTCAATGCCAGGTGAACCAGCTGTTTCCTCACTGTGCCCTGGGCCAGCTAGGGGAGGGCCTAGGCCACCAGTCCTGAGCAGCAGCACCGCTTCCAGCCTTCACCAGCTCCTGGCCCTCAAATTTTTTCACTTTGCCTTGTATCTAATTCTTTCCCTTTTCATTCATCCCTTATTAATGCAGCAGTCTGAATTTAGAACATTATCGCTTTATACTTGAAATTACTTTTAACAACTTGTTTCCTTTTCTCAACTTCCTTCAGTTTGCTTCACAAGCCATGAAGTCACAGTTTCGATCTGTCACCGAATTCCACCACCCTTGGGTGTCACCTAGACCACGTCAACGACCAAACTCTTGTGATCACTGCTGACATTAAAACATCCTCCCAAGGGCCTGTGCACATCCTCTTATTTCCTGCCTCTGTCTTCACCTGGCTGCTGTCAGTTGCTGCGCTGGCATCCATCTCTCCTTTCTCGTTAAAAGCAAGTAGGTTATTTTCTCCTTCAACCTCTGCTTATAAAATGGCACTCAGGCTGTGACTGAGGGAAATGGGGTAGGTGCTGTCCACCGCCCTCCTTGAAAAAAGTAAACCCTGAAGCACCTGCCACCTCAGCCTTCTGCTCTTTACTAGGTCACTGCTTGAGCCAGAGGGGCAGGAACGGTCAGGCTGTGGCATGAAGGCAGTTCTTGCACAAAGTACACTGCTTCCCTTTTTCCGCTTCACTTCACACCCTTAACTGAACCAGTTGTTTCCCCTGCTCAGAATCACCACCTCCTAAATATTGCTTAAGACAGCTTCGGAGTGGCTGACCACAATGATCCCTCCTAATTCCTGTCATTCCAATAATCTGTCAGCTGCACTGCCTTTCCCAAATATTTATCTCCTATATGTGCTTCAGTCTTTACCTAGTTATAACCTCCTCATTGTGACTTCACTGCAGCAAACGCTGCTTTCAGAGTTTGGGGAGGATAATTACTGTGTATACAGCAGCAGCTTGCTTGCAAAACAGGAAGTCCTTACAACAAATTCGGTGCACACAGTAGGCACTTAGGCACTCAGTACTTACATTCACAGCAACTCGAGCATGGTCTATGTGAAGAAAATATATGAATTTTATAACACTTAGAAATAGGCTTATTTTAAAAATCAACTCATTTTACATATATACTACAGTGATATTCTGAAGAAATAGCATAGTTTCTGTTTCTTTAAACTCTTTCAAATGCTGCACTCCACGTTTTAATTATAACGTGATCTGTGCCAACACACTCAGTGGAAAGCCTCTTTCTGCTGATGGGGGCCCTTATCTGGAAGCAGTCTTAAGTCTGATGCTTTAAGTTAGGTTAGAGGTAGACAGCACCTTCCCCTTCACCAGGCGTCACTGCAGGGCACTGCTCAGCACAGTGGTCATGTCACTCAGAACAGGCCCAGCCTAGTCCCAGCGTCATTCGTAGCTTCCATATTACAAAAAATCCTTGGATGGCAGAAACATCATCTCATTTGTTCTTTTCCCTCATGGAAATGAGCACCGAGGAGGTGTCCATAAAACAGATTAAATCTACTGGGTTTTGTGTTCTTTTTTCCCAAGGTCTGGCTGCTACAACAGAGACTTATCCTGTGGTGTAGCATGAATGCCCTGAAGGACTGATGCTCACGCTCAAAATCACACACCTAACCGAGTCCACCTGTTGGGTGGTTTTTAGACCACATGGAGAAGCTGCTGGAAAACTGGCCCCAAGAGGGGGGTTCCCTGCTCTCCAGCCTCACCGTGAGGACTGCTCAGGCCCTCCACATGTCACACATCACACCTCAAGTGACTCTCCTGCCACTTCTCCAGACACCACCGAAGCGCTCTAGTGTCCCGGCACTGAGACCCATGAGCAGAAAACCCGCCCTTACGGCCAAGGCCACGCCTGGCAGCAGCTGCTCCGTCCTGCCGACACTGGGAGCCCCACTGTGCCCTTCTCTGAACTCGGGGCTTCAATGCTATGGCTGTCCTGGCCTTCCCCTCACCAACCTCCTAGTCATGCTATATCCCATGTGAAGACTGTACTGCCCTCCCGCCCCCAGGCTTCCCTGGGAACGGCTCCCCCCCCCCCCCAAGGCTCTGTCAGGCACTGAGCTGCATTCTGTGTGTGCATGGCTGTGTGGCTGGTCAGGGGCTTTGTCATCATTCTCTTCTCAGGTCGGGCAGACTGGAGGCAGACAGGGAAATATCTGCTGAAGGGAATGAACTGACATGGCACAGCAAGGCTCTCCCCAAACCATGGTCAGCGTGGAGATAACAGCTGTAAAGGCTACAGGCACCCATGCACTGCATCTCTGCCCTCGCAGTGTCTGTTCTGAGGGCTTGCAAAGCCATTCAAGGTATGTGTGAAAGTACATACCTTTTCTAAAGCCTCTCACCTCATTAATTTATATCTGGAAATGAAGGCTTTGCCACAGTCTGGCTGCAAGCACTTGAAAGGTCGCTCCCTGGAGTGGGAATAATTGTGGATAGTGAACTTCTCCAGGGTGAGGAACGTCTTGCCACATAACTGGCAGGGGTAGGTGGCCATGGGCTTTGCTTCTCACACCTTCCTTTTCAGATGCGCTGACCAAGTGCTGTGCCATTTAAGCACAAAGGGAAGGATGGTGCTGAGCGCATCGGCAGAGCCAGGGCAGCTGAACTCCAGGGGAGAGGCAGCGTCGTGGTTCTGGGCCTGCTTCTACCCACACACGGGCCTCTCAGTGACCACTAGCTTGGCTTCCTGCTTTCCCACATCCCAATTATATGCAGTCTCAAGGTGAGAGAAGAAAGGCTGAGGCACAGATGAGATTCCAGGAACAGAAAGGTAATCTGCATCACTAGAGCTGGGACATGTCCCGGTCACCAGACTGTCTGTGGAGAGAAGAGGAACAGTTTTCTTGCATTAGCCATGTGAAAACAATGCTTTTCCTCCCCCACCAGTTCAGAGTCCACACGTTTCTTTAAGTGGCGCTCAGGCCGCACAGCGATGCAGCTTTCCCGTGCGCTTTTTCAGAGGCCCTTCTGCACCCAAGCCACCTGCCTGCCACTCTCCTGAGTGCAGCGGTCACACTCCTGGCATCTCCGTGGTGGCGTGCATGCCGTCCTTGGTGATAAAGACAGCTATTTCCATAAGCCGTGATTTCTACTTTAAGCCACAATTTCAGGTCTGTGTGAGGCTAGGTCAACCAATTCGAAAAAGAAAAGTCCCCGGTGCATCTGCGTGTCTTGTTGGTACAAAACAAAAAGCACTCCTGTTTCTTCACACCATGGGCTAGTCCCCTACACTCACGGTTAGCACGACAGACGCTGTTTATTACACCTGTTTCAGCTTCCAGCAGATGAGAAGAAATCGTGTATATACTCTACAAATTAATTTGTTTGTAAAGTTAACCAGCAGAAGGACCGACATAAACAAAACGTGAATAAAGCTACTCTACTTCACGAATGCCCCTGCAGGGGCAGAAAATATTCCCATGGAAATAAAAGCCAGGGATCAGGCGCGCGGGCTCAGCTGTGTAGGTGTGCTGGCACCATCCTCTGGTGAGCTCTTCTGCACATCGCTTCCCCTTTCATTTCTGGGGACACTTCCTCATTCCCCAGCCGCACCCTGGACGGCCAACCCAGCTACCTGTGGCTGTGCCACTTCTCAGGGGTGGCCTGCTTCCTTCTCAACCTGCAGCTATTCTCAAACCCACGTTATTACACTCTGCCAACCCCAACGCTGTCGCCCAGGACCAGGCTCTTAACTTTCCACAGCGGGAACCGTCACGTGAGGCGCCCTCCCAGGCTCAGGCAGCCTCACATGCAAACAGTCCACCCCTGACTACCCAGAGCACTGTGTGCACGTCTACGGGGTGAGTCTCAGGGACTGGATGCTAACCTCTCGAGTGCCAGCACTTAAACAGAAACAGTTAGAGTATGAAGTCTTGCATTAAGCATTCTGAGAAGCTTTTGTCCACAGGCCAGCCCTGTCTGAACTCGGTCAAACAAGTAGGACAAGAATGGTAAACTGAGCGATCGCAGGCACCGGCTTCCTGCAGCCATTCATTCCCTGCCAGGCCTTAGCGCGGCTCTTTGTTGTTAAACGTGAATTTTCATTTACCTTTGCAGTTGCATTCAGATCAGATACCAGAGTCTAGCTCGATGAACTTTTATTATAATAGTTCAAGCATCTTGCAAAATACCAGCCCAGAGTACATGTGCAGAGAAAAGCTGCACCCCCTTTCTAAGTGACCAGAAATCGCCGTGAATTTCTCTCATGCCTCATCAACTAAGCTCAGATAGCTTTAGTGTTCGGTCAGAGTTCATAAAGGAGCTGGCTCCCCGTGGCCCTGCCCCACCTGCTTGGAACCTTCAAAGCTGACATGCACACTCTGACCTGAAGAGCTAGCCCTGGTCCAAAGCCAGGGCACAGGCCTGCACAGCCAGCAGCCTGGCACCAGACCCACTCTGATGGCAGCAGGCTTGCTCCCGATTCCACCGTGGCCATGTGTGACTTGACCTGAAGTCCCGTCCCAGCTCGGGTCAAACCCATCTCTCCCCCGACTCCTAGTTCCCACCGAGATTCTAGCTCAAGCTGGAGGCTCTACCTGGAGATGCCCCCAACCACCACCCTGTCCACAAACAAAATAACGCCTTCGAGGAATTCCACCGTGCGCGGCTGAGTTTGCGCTGCCAGGTCTCACGATGTGTCCTATTTCTCATCCGGCCTAAGTCTGGCCGTAATAACAGCCTAGCCAGAAAAGGGATAGAATTTATCATCATCGCATTTCATTCACTTGAAATTACTGTGTACTCTATTAAAAAAGATTGAAGTGGTATATACAACATACAGCGTGAATTTTTCCCTCTTCTTTGTTCCCTGAGCCCTCGCCACTCAGCAGAGGAAGCTGCTCTGTTGGTGAGGCTTTTGTATTCCACATACACACACACCAATCCTCCACTTAATACATCTTTTTTCAACTCTCAATAAATTCATTCTCTTATGTCATGAGACATGACCAGTATCTAGTTGCTGTGTGGGACCCACAGACTCAGTTTCACCACTGAGATGAAGGCGGGGCCGTGTGTTCCCTCAGACACAGCCATGTGGCTGATTCACCAACAGGTACTGCCCTGCGTGTGGGCAGGATATACAGCTCCCATCACAGGTGCTATGAACACATGGAAAGATACCCCAGTTCAAATTCCAGCTTACCCATTTGGTACCTCTGTCCTGAGTTTGCTTCTTCATTCGTGATATCCACCTGATACAACTAACCAAAACAAGAGGGGTCTGAAAGCAAATCTAAAAGCACACCACACAAATACAGTACTGCCAAGACACAGGGGTCACAGCAGACACCATCAGCTACACATTAGCACTCGGGTCTAGCTACTCAGCTGCAGATGTAATGGAAAAAAGACACGCGTTCTTTCCCTACCTTTAATTCACCATCCATTATTCAGAGTGTGAGGAACTGGTTGTCTGGACAATGCACACGCTCACACACACAGAAAGGCCGTGTGAGGTTGCGGGAAAAAGCCTGCCTGCTTTGTTTCTCGACAGATAGCAACCTTGACTGACTGCTGACTAACACACCAAGGATACAAAGGAAAAAGATGCCCTGAATTAAAAAAAAAAAATGACTGTCCTTTTACACTGAAAGATACATTTTCAGCCACTGCCCTCAGTTCCAAAGTCCAGCATCATTGACATGGTTGCCTACACTTGCTTGGGCCTCAAACATGGCGGGGATCCCTAGGGAGATCCGACATGCTTATGTTTCATTTACATGTGAGACATACCTCCTCTGACTCCCTGTTCCTCATCAAATTTTCAAAGACCAAAAAAAAGTATCTTTCACACATTTTTATACTGATTTCATGAGTGTCTTTATCTGTTGAGATTTAGGTCTTGTATTAATCCAAATGCTAAAATACACACAGTCAATCCTCAAATGCTGACTTGAATTATATGACAGTAAACATTCCTTAATTTCTTCAGGAAGTCTTTTAGATGACCTCAAAGTTACATTTCATGTACCATAACTGTGTGATTCATTAATATAGACACAAAATATAAACATTTGTACTATTTTCATGATAGAATCACAAACTTGTATAAAAATCATCTTTTCAAGAGGCTATAAATTCATTGTGGCTAAGGATCAAAGCTCAGCTACTTTTTAAAAATAAACCATGAGGAGAATACAACGTCTCCCATTGCCATGGACTTGACCAGAATTGGCTGCTGTTGCTGCTGATTCCAATCTTTACTTGAAACCTGATGCGCTTTCTGACCACATCCTTAAAACAGACTTGTGATTAACTTTCTATTATCTGGCAAACCACCAACAATCCTCACAGGGAGCTGACAAAGGGTCCCGATGATAATCAGTCTGTTCTGTGACTTGACGTCCAGATTGTATTTGAGTCTTAAATACGCTAATATTTCAACACCTGTCACCCTGGAAAGAGAGTAAGTCTTCCCCCAAAACATCTCAGGACATAATTTTCAATCCCCTTGATTCTAAAAATACTGAGTGAGTGATACAGATCTGCCAGTATGCCAAAGAAGGCTGTGCCATCTGCTTCATTCTGATCGTGCTGATTATTTTGGGGATGAGAGAGGATCAGATTGGAATAAGAACATGTATATATGGCAACTGCCAGGAAGGCCTCTGTTCCCTGAGGGCTGCTGGTATAGGACAGTAGAGGGAGAGATCAGAGCACAAGTGTCGCTCCAAGACGTCCCCAATGTGCGTAACACAATCATCTAATGGGGGACAAATGTTTCACAGCATTCTCAAAATAAACTATGACTTCTGGCTTCTATTTCCATTGTCCTTGGTGACACAATGCAAGGCCCACTTCTGGGAGGAAACTGAACTGCCATTTTTAGTCTTCCAGCAGGACCACTCTTTTAAGTTCTTTGACTTCATTCATCAGCACTCCTTATGGGTAAGAAAGTTCTACTCCAAATGTTTCTCCTCCATCCTCCCCAAATCTGGGATTGTTTTACATAAACATGTTAAGGTCAACTCTAAAAGCATTACTAACTAGGTTCTGTTTCTTACACTTCAAAATACGAAGCAGCTAATTGTGGAAGGGGGTGGGAATTCCTTGCTGACTTAGGTCTAGAGGCCCTTAGAAAGGGTGCTTCTCTCAGTATCAGTTCTTTGAAGGACTTTGACAACAACTCTTTATCCTTAGCCAAAGAGCTATTCAGAAACAGAGCAAAAGAAAGAAGAGATGCAAAAACTTTTAGGCAGTTGCTACTGCTTATTTTTATTTTGTGCAAGTATTGTAAAGTTTGCCAGGTGCAGGTGTTGTATCTGAACTGTGAGTAGTATTTGAAGAGTTGGAGTTCATTATATCTACTAAGCAAACAAGGGGTTCTAGTGCCTTAATGAGAACCATCCCAGATAACACGGCTGGGGTTTCAGCCTTCACTGAGAGCACGGCGCCCTAGGGATTCTCTGAAATTCTGGGTAAAATCACGAGGCATGATGCACTGTGAATTATTACAGGAGAAGGAACCATAGTTTTCTTCAGGTTTTCTGAAAGGTCTTTAATCAAAAGGTTAAAAACAATGACTTAAATTAAAAAAAAAAAAAAAAGAGCATCCGTCTTAGGGCTAGTTCAATGCACCGAAAAGCACTAGTATATCCAAACCTATGGCTCACACACTTTGGGGATGACTACATTTTAGCAATCACTACATTTATCTCAATAGCTACATTTTAGCAAATGAAAGATTTTTTAAAAGAGGTTCTGTAAGTACCTTCTGTATTCAAGCAATACAAATTTCATTTCAAATAAGGGTACGTGATAACAGCTCCTGTATCATGTAAGACAGGCCTACCTTTCATCTAGGGAATGAGCTGCCC